TTCAATGTTATACCCATTAGTTCTGTGATTGTGGACAAAATCACGCCCACACAATGTCTTTTTCTACTTATCGATGCGTGTGATGAGGTCATTAAGGTCATGCGTTTCGTTTTTCCGAAATTGGGTATGGCGTTGTTTAAAAATGTGGGCAATTTGAGGCAGGATCTTTGTACAGGGTGATCTATTTAAGATGCTTCCATACCTTATCTCAATAAGAACGACACCGAGGAAAAAAGTGAAATACAAGAAGGGTTTCATTTTAAGTATATATTTTATTTATAGTGTTATTTTTCTAAATGGAATTCTATGAATATTTTTGACATTTATTTTTATTGGTTTGATTTTGAGTATTTAAATAAAACAACAAAAACAGGTTTTTCGAAAAATGTGTTTTTATTGAAACTGGAAAACTAAAATTGGGAATCCTTGTAATCGATTTAATGTTTTGGTTAGTTAGGTTTTTTTAACAGGAACACCCTGCATTTAGCAGTTTTATAGGGTTAATTCTGAATCATTTCATATATATATATATATATATATATATATATATATATATATATATATATATATATATATATATATATATATATATATATATATATATATATATATATATATATATATATATATATATATATATATTCTCACGTATTGATTCACGGATGGAAAAATGTGATGACACTATATTCCGGGATATCATCCGTTCGCTCGTTGAACTCCGACTGGAATCCTGCATCCGACTGGAATCCTGCAAATCTTGCATCCGACTGGAATCCTGCAGACGTTTCGCCAAAATCTCACTTGGCATCTTCAATGCTCGCGCTCCGAAAACACTTCGAAGTGTTTTCGGAGCGCGAGCATTGAAGATGCCAAGTGAGATTTTGGCGAAACGTCTGCAGGATTCCAGTCGGATGCAAGATTTGCAGGATTCCAGTCGGATGCAGGATTCCAGTCGGAGTTCAACGAGCGAACGGATGATATCCCGGAATATAGTGTCATCATATATATATATATATATATATATATATATATATATATATATATATATATATATATATATATATATATATATATATATATATATATATATATTCTCACGTATTGATTCACGGATGGAAAAATGTGATGACACTATATTCCGGGATATCATCCGTTCGCTCGTTGAACTCCGACTGGAATCCTGCATCCGACTGGAATCCTGCAGACGTTTCGCCAAAATCTCACTTGGCATCTTCAATGCTCGCGCTCCGAAAACACTTCGAACACTGCGGAATATAGTGTCATCATATATATATATATATATATATATATATATATAATGTACGCGCGGCCTCTGAAGATGCCAAGTGATATTTTGGCGAAACGTCAAGCGAATGATCCTACTCCAGGGTCAAACAACGAACGGATGAATACCCGGATTACCACATAGTTCCATCCGTGAAGGACTAAAACAAAACATATATATATATATATATATATATATATATATATATATATATATATATATATATATATATATATATATATATATATATATATATATTGCTGCAATTATACCTGTTGGAATAAGTTAAAGAAAAAACAAATTATATACAGTATACAACAGTAACCTTTAGGTTATAACTTTGTAGTAGAATTAATTGGTTTTATAATATTTTGGACCCAGTAATAACTAGGCACTATATTAATTATTTTAGTTTAAGCCCGATAACAGAGAGTTAGAAGGTATTTTTCATATTTTATTTTGAAATTATGTAATGACGTGTCAAGAAACTGGTTGGGAATTACATTAAATAAGAATGTCAATGTCATGATCAAATTTCCTCAAATAATAGACAAACCTAATACATTCATTCTGTACTATCTGAACAAGCTTCGTACTTTCCTGATAGAAAGAAAAACCGTAGACAAAGTCATAATAATTGAAATTAGAGCAGACCAGGAATTCACAGAAACTTCGTTTCAGTTGTTTACATAAAATATATCTATTATTACATAAAACTTTCATGGTTTTTGGTGTTCTTTGAATCTAAGTTTGCTGTCTAAGAATACTCCCAGATTCTTGGCACATCCTTTAAAATTTAATTTTCAGTCGCTGATCATTATATTTAATTTAATCTTTAGGAAGTTAGCACACCATGACACATGATTTACTTAGATGAAGTTTTAAGTTGTGGTCTTGAGACATCCGATTGAAAGTTTCAAGGTCATCATTAACGTATGTTTCAATTTTTTTATAACTGTCATTGCTGAAACTAAAATAAATTTGTATGCCATCCGCAAAGGCTGGAATTTTGCATTTAGTGTTTTAGTTTCATTAAAAATTAGTACAAAGCATAGAAGAATATGCAACATGAGACAGCCTGTATATGAAATAACGAAATTAAGTGACGTGATTTTCGTAAAACAAATATAACGAATATGCGAATCGGCATTATACGGATAACCGTTTGATTATTCGATTACGATTTTTGTCGCTTAATATTCATATCGCGTATAAGCTCGTCGAAATTGAGATAAATATTTTACGCGTTATAACCTGCTCAGACTTGTTCCACATGAGTCACCCGCGGATACATTAGTGCTTCAAAAACGTATGCGTTGGTTGTCGACTTTCTCTACTAACCGTTAAAATGGTATTAATCGGTGCTATAAACAAAATAGTCTTAGGAGAATAATAGTACGTTTCTTATAAGACATTGAATTGCTAATTTTTATGCCAATAATTACGCACCGCAGAAAGATGAACGGACGGATGTCAGTAGTGCAGATTATACAAGCCTTATAAATATTAATAATTTTAAATATAATTCTTATAAAAACATGTCGAGCGATTTAAGTTATATTATGAAAAACAAATTTTTAGTTGACTTGTTTTACACCCTGTTGTGTATAGTTTTAAGTTTTATTCAACCTTTATATAAATTATATATTTAATATAACATTGTCAATGAACAATTATTAATAGAAAGTGGATTTGATTTTTAACTTAGATTACTTTATTAAATTATGTTATAATTGACTTAAATTACTAAATATCCTTTCGTTTTACTTTTTAATATGCATCAATTCTTTATTAACATTTTAAAATTAAAACAAATTTTAAAATTTTAAGTGTTCATGTTTACGTAAAGCAGTTGATGAAATGTTTTAAACGAAGTATTAAATATGACAATATAATAATGTAACAATATAACAATTAAGTGGATGTGCTATGAGCTCACCAATGATGGAATATTTACAAGAAAATGTTTTACAACATTTATATCTTATTGTGTTTTTTTTTTCAAACGTTTTGTTGTTAACTGTTTAAGAGCTATGCTAGAAAATCATGTTAATGATATTCTTAATGCTTTTAATAATTTTCGGTTTTTTTATATTTGTATTTTCCTAATTCATTGAAAGTTTAATATTGGACGATCAATTCAACTCAAGTATTTTTCAATTAATTTTAATAAATTACTTATAGTAACGCCGCTGTCAAATTACATTTGATTTTAATTTATGGGAAACTTTTATTGCAATTTATTGAACTTTACGATATAATCTTTAAATTGTCCACAGTGTATATTGATATATATTAATTGAGACTGTGACTAGGTGATAGGTAAAGCTACTATACCGTACAAGCGATAAGTAAGGTTGTGGGAGATGTGGTGGTGGGTCTTGAGACTGGAAATCGGGTTTGGTTGACAATTTGTGACCTTAGTAAGGCCTTCGACTGTATCTCGCACGTATGGATTTCGCGGCGGAACCCTTAAGCTAACTGAATCTTATTTATTAGACAGGAACCAGTTTGTGGGCGATGACAGATGTAAATCCTCTTTGGTGAAGGTCTCCAGTGGGGTCCCCCAAGGGTTCGTACTCGGCCCTGTATTTTTTATAGTGCACGTTGCTGATCTATGCCGTTTTTTTGGGGTCTGTCAAATGTACTTGCGGACGATGCCAGTTTTACCTTATATGGTCCGAATTGGAATGACCTTCACGACATTTTTGGGGAACTGGAGAGCAATGCGAACAATTAGTTTAAAAGTAATTATTTGAAATTGAATACGGACAAAACTCAAAAAAATATTCTTTTCGCTAGATAAATATAACAACGGCGAATAGCAGTCGGCTAAATTACTTGACATTACACTTGTTTGTAGACTTGACTGGAAAGATCATAATTTATCTCTTAAGCGTCCTTAGAAAAATTAGGGAGAGCCTAGGCCAAAATGCCCTAATGACAGTTTATTTCATTCTCACATAGCATACGGCACAATATTATGGGGAAACTCTGTCAATGCTGTTCAAATATTCAGGATACAGAAAAGGGCTATAAGAATTTTTGCTGGGGCTAACTACAATGAACACTGTACTTCATATTTTAATATATTAATATTTTAATGACACTGCCTTATATCTATATTCTCTAGATTCTTTTAGAACACGTGCAAAAAATCTTACAAGAGTTCCAAAGCACAGACTTCTTACATCAGACGAAAATTCTTTAAACATTAACTTGTACAATATGCTGCTAGATACAGACATATGGCTTTTGAAAATTGTTCCTATAGTGTGGACGAGTATCCCATCAAAATAAAAAAATCTAAATTAAAATCCTTGGCTTTATACTTTCTACATTTTGTTTTTGTATTTTACCTTATATTGACAGGGTGCAATTTTACTATTATTGTACAACATGGGGTTAATAAAAAATTCTTCTATTTCAAAGGTACGCTGTATGGAACCCGCTTGAATAGACGCGATAATAATAATTTATATTTAAGGGCTATTTGCAAGCGCCTCGGGCGGTAGTTTACAACGCCAATTTCATTATGTCAACATCGCGATTTATCTCCTTTTGACGATAATAACAATGTAACGTCCGTCGGAAAACTCGCGCCGTCAGGTGGCGCCCCCTGAACGCCGCGCTCTCAACTAAAACGAAACAGAGTGGGGGTGTACGAGGTAGAGAATCGAGGAAATACAAACGACGCGCAGTTCGCATGTGGATGCGGTATGGTGCGGAGCGATTGTAGTCGACAGTAGCGCGAAGTAGTTTCTCGAGTGCCTGAGCAGTGCGGGAGAGAGTTTACATTTGGAAATTTCGCTCGCGTTTCGTCCCGATAATTGTTTGCGCCGTCGCGATAAAAATCGAGATTAATTTTACGCGTAATTGCGGCCCTTCGAAGGTACTTTTCGCCGAAAACAAGGTAATAAAATTCGCGATTTTCGGGGTTTCGCGTCCGAGCGAACCGAACGGAGACGCGAGCAGGCGAAAAAAAACCAAAACACAAATTCGAGATAGAATCAGCTGTGTGCAAAGCTCGCGCATGATTCAACCCCCACCTCGCGGCACCGATGTGGTGGGGCTAACAGCTGTGAATAAGATACAAACTCAAAACATCCAGCTCAGAGCTGTCAGTTCGGTCGGCGGTTTCGGACGTTGCGACGCATACGCTAAGTTTAATCAGGTGCTTGAACGCACTTGAGGTGGACTTAGAAAATTATTTTTTTTGACTCACTTGGAAAAAAATTCGATCGAGATATTTTTGAGTTTCGATTATTCGGTTAGTGTGTGGAGTGCGGTTTACGGATTTCGTTGTCGTTTTTTTGGATATGGTACCTCAGCAAGGCATGGACGCGTCACGATCAGAAAGTCCCAGCAGCAGCGGCCTGCCTCTATTCGGCTCGCAGTTGGTTGATAAAAACTCGTCGACACCCTACTCTGACGCCACTCAGGTAGGTCAGCACTAGTGATAGTGATTTTGTGGTACCGTGGTGCGAAATTTTCTGAATGTTGGATTATATATGAGGACCCGAAACGTACGGAGGTACTTATGCAAATTTACTTAACCTATTCATACGAGCGTCCATTGAAAAGTGAAGGTGCGATATTCTAGATAAATCTCCGCCACGATTAATCTCTCACGAGCGGTTAAAGAAGCAGAAAGCTACGTCGCGTTCAAGGTTAGCATGAAATATCAGTTCCGCAATGGAATTAACATTTACGAAACGTTTTTTGCATGTTGAAAGTGACGCCGACATAGTAGTAATAATAATAGACAATCAGTCTGCGGGTGCTGAGTCAGGAACCTTGAAAACGCCGACTACCCAGCTGAGCGCGGAGCATACGCGTATCGCGAGATTTTAAAAAGTGTTAACGGTGACTATAAAACCGCGAGATGGGGAATAAACTGGTTCCGTTTTCTATGGGGAACGTTAATTAAGTTGATCGATGAACTTGTTTCGCAATCGGCCCAACAAATTACTGTGTGTAATAAAAAAAAATACTACGCGACGTTTTACTGGTTGAAAAATATTAAATTCGATATAAATAGGATGCGATTTGCTGAAGAAACGTCTGAGCCCTTACGGGCTTACAAACACAAATTGATTGATCTAAATCGGGGACAAATCGTAGGTGATTTTAATTTTTCTGGTATTTAGATGGAATACAACGTATATATTTCCGAAATCTAAACTCGAGGTGAAAATAATTTTTTATTAAGAGAAATAAAACAACAAGCGTTGATTGAGTTGAAAGAAAACAGTTAGCAAACGAATGATTTAGTACTGGTACAAAAGGGATTTCTATGCTTTAGTAGCTAAAATATACACAAAAGTTATAATTCAATTACTTGTGTGCGCACTGAAAGGAAATAAAAAAATGTGACATAAGACATTGGTCTGTGAGTGGCGTATTAAAACTTTTTTCGGGCCGCTTATGCTTTGTGTATTGACGACGTAGTAAGTTTTTTCATAAATAAATTTAACATTTACATTTAAGTTTGGATGTGGAAAAAATCTATGATAAAGAAATTTTCCCAAAAGTAGATACGAATTTAACGTAATATAATTATTGTGTTCGCTAGGAATTTCTGTATTTAATTTTTACGTTCCAAATCGAACGTAAAGTTGGTTCGCAACTTATCGTCTAAATCTAAAATTATATACGTAAAACTTGTTTTTTTTTTGAGTTGATGTACACAAAATCTGGTCAGATATGAAAATAATGTAAGTAGAAGTGTAAAAAAATATGTTTTTAGAAATATATCTGTGAAGGGCGTAATAAAACTTTTCGCGGAACTTTTGTATTGTATATTGACGAAATACTTAATTTTTTTAAAAAAGTGAATTTGATATTACTCGATGCTTAAGGTTTCCGTTTGGATTTTGAGAAAATATGCAATAAAGCAATTACCCCAAAAGTAGATCCGAATTTGTTGGATATCAAAGGCGAAAAGACTGTTTTTCAGTCAACAATTGCTAGGAATTTCTGTAATTTAATTTTCACGTTCGAAATCTGTTGATACACAATAAAAAAAGTTGGGCAAGCTATTTATCGCCCAAGTCCTCAAATTATAGAGAGTGAAACTTGTAAATTTTTATTTGCAAAATTTGATTAAATATGAAAATAAGTAGACACAAGTTTAGAAGAATATAATTTTAGAAATATATCTGTGAAGGGCGTAATAAAACTGTAAAAGTGAATTTGAAAGTAGATACAAAATTATGGACGTGATTTTTTGTTTTTGCATAATCCGATAAAATATGGAAATAAGTAAACACAAGTGTAAAACAATGCCTTTTTAGAAATGGAGCAAACTTTTCTCGGAACTGCTATATTTCGTGCGTTGGCGAAATACTTAATTTTTTAAAAAAGTAAATTTGGAAGGACTCTGTGCTTAACGTTTGACTTTGAATTTTGGGTGAATATGTAAAATAATAAATTTGTTGGGCGCCAAAGAAAAGAAAATAATAATTTCTAGAAAATTTACAATAAACTATGTCACCCACAGGATTAATAATTATATTTAAATAGGTTAGTAATTACGCGGGTATAAGGTGAAAAATGAATTTGTAAAATCCTCCAAAATTATTATTAATATTATTATTATTAAGAATCGTCCAACTTTAAATATTGATTTTTGCTCAGTTTTTTCTAAACATATATTTTATATTTATATATTATATTTATCCATTTATTTATATATTATATATAATCCTCCTGCGTCGATTTTTGCTGAGTCGAACTTGCCGACGTTTCGCCAATCAGCCTGTTTGCTCCTTCAGAGCTCGACTGAAACTGAAAAATGGAAAAATTAAAGATGATTACTTGCTTTGCGTAATAATTTATTATTTTGGCCCCATTAGGGACTCAAAAAATAATGTTATACATTATAAAATTCGGGCTGGATAATTCCCCGTAATTTGATTGATAAGTTTTTTGTTTTTGGGGGGAAATTTCCAAAAGTACCTGCCGTATACGTCGGAGTCCGACATCAATCGCAATGTTCAGAAAGTTCTTGACACGCAGTTTCGCACGCAATTAAAATCGAATATCGTCTCACTTCCCGGGTCATTTTTATTTTTAGATAAATTCGTATAAATATGTTTTATCGCCCGCCTGGCTGATAATTATCATCGTCGTCGCTTGTTCGGGTCGTCGAACTTTTACTCGAGGCGCAAAAACCGTAACGAAGGTTTTTTTTTTTGTAGAAAATCTCGCGGTTTTTCGATCGATTTTATTTGTGTTGGAACGCGCGCAAAAATGTGTACGTGTCATTCGATTTTTTTTTTCTTGGCACCTGATAGTTCGTTTCCGCGAATCCCAACGGCAGAGAGTTTCCGCCTCAAGGTCAGGCACCGAGCCGCGGCTAAATTTTCAAACCAAAAAATGGCAAGCGTCGCCACACCATTTGATTTTTCTAGAATTTTTCGTTCATTATTACCGTCGAAACATTTTGGCGCGATGGCCGTCTCATACACGTGAAACCGTGTATAAAGTAAACTGTACATAACTGTAATTTCAGTTTGAATTGGAAATTCAATTATTCACGTTCCGGATAATTATTTGCCCTGTTGCCAAATCGCGTGTTTTATGTCGATATTATAGGCGAGAAAATATCAGACCTCGCGCGCCCATAATTTTGCTATCCGAAATCTCAGCCTAAACATTTATTTGCCATGGTGGTTGTGTATGATTTTTTCTCATCCATCGGGGTTTATTTGTACATCAATACGTAGTCATAGTTTCACAAAACTGTGACCCGTAATGTAATCTTGTATACTTAGACCAGAAACATAGTGCTTTTACAACCAACCCCGTGATTAACTTTGCCCACTGTTTATTACTCCAAAACTGCACCCTTCATAGAACACCCTGTCGAGCCATTCCAGGATAATAAAGTATCAGTTACTTAAAAAATTGTCACTATCGCTACTGTCGTCACCTAGTTAAATGATTAACTTCGCCACTAATCGTTCTCGATAAATATTTTCTTCTTTTATTCCACAAAACCATTTTGGGCCCAGCATGAAGAATTATTAATGTTATCACACCATCCTTTTTTTACTATGTCGTCCTATTGGCCCATTTTGCTCTCGATTTTTTTAAATTGCATTTAAATAATCCACCCTCCATTGCGAAATTGTTTGAGATTCCACTTCCACAATTGTTTGGAACTGAAATTCCATTTTCTTCAAAAAAGTACGCAACTACCTTTTGACACTACTAATGTTTAGGCGACGTAGATTATACGCTTAATTAGTATCAGCGTCTTCTTTCACTTTTCTCTTGATTACCCCATTTGCAACATTTTTCTTACAGTTGACTTCGGAACATTGGTCATGTCACTTGTTTTCATTGTTGCTCCTACTTCCCCTTCTGAATATCTTATAAAATTGTAAACATTCAAAACAATTTGACAACACAAAAATATAGTGCAATAAGTGCACTATATTTTTGGTCGTATTATACGAATGGTATTTTTCTTCTTTTAATATACGCAAAGCTCTTCGTCGGCTATAAATTTTCTCTCAATTTTACCTTGTAGTGGGTGTTTCTGGATATTTTACGTTCAACAAATTTTTTGTTTTTTCTCCATATGCAAAGAGAATTAAAATTCCAATTCTCTTAGGTGCGCTATATTCGCGTTCTTTACATCAGAAGTGTAGTTGTAACAATTTAAGAACGTTACTGGTAGTAGCTGTTGATTTAACAATTAAATTTTTTGTTTTTTTATTATTTTGCTCATAAAATGTAAGAGATGCGGCATGAATTATTTTTAAATGAATGATAAATGATAAATGAAAAAAGAACAAGTTTTTCCATTCAAATATTCAATGTTATGCCCACCTGGACGCCAATGGTAAAAGCAGGAAATAGATTTTTGTCGAAACAAAACATCAAAAGCCAATTTTGAATCTTGCTTAAAAAATTAGGGTGCCAAAAATAATTGTAATTTTTGGCAAAAGGAAAATATTCCGCGGTATAAATTGAAAAAAAAAAGTGAAAAAAAATTATATTATATTGACGTCCATTTTGAAAATTAATTTAACATTGGATTTTTTTCTATAATTTAAATTAAAAACTATTTTTTTAAACCAATTTATTCGTGATGCTCTATATAATTTCGCTGTTAATTTTCGTGTGTAATTTGAGTTTTCGCTCTTTCGTCAAAGTTCGATGATGGTTTCGATGCAAATGTCAAAGAATTGAATAAAAAAAAAATTGTTTCCTTATTTAATTTGCAAAATTGCACGCGGTGGCCGTCACTTTATGCGAATAAAAATAATGCCTAGCGCGAAAATTTATGCATTTTATGGTTATTATTTCCTCGTTTTGAAGCTCTCGCGCGAAATTTATATTTTAAACCGTGAGTCGCGTTATCGGGGGCTCATAAAAAGGTCGCCGGGTTTCCTTTTTCGCAAGGTCCCTCCTCGCCCGCCTGTATATC